GCGTCGTTTATGGGCGGGGGAGCCCGTCTTATAGGCTCGCGCAATCCTGTGGGTGATCATTGGTGCGCGCTCTGAAACCCAAAAGCTTGAGGTCGGTATTCTTGGGCATCGTCTTCATACAGTAATTCCGTGAACTTGTATTCTCCCGAGTCCTCACGATCACCGGTTCGAAGTGTCCATCGTGTGGCAGGCCGGTCGGGAGAAGGAGAAGGCCCTATTGTTGTACACAGCTGCGGAACAATCCCAAGGACGGCATACCGGGATATTAAACAAGGAGCGATGGTCTTGGAGCCTTTTGATTCATAGGTATGCCACTGTCAAGAACGTGCAGTGGAGGGACCCAGCTACTGACGGCAAGCTCAGTACAGACAAACCTCAAATCTTCTCCGGAAGCTGGCAGACATGGTGACGCACAACCCCGCCCTCCTTCCACGCGCCTTCCATGACTGCCTTCATCGCCTCGCACGTCTCTCTGAATGCGCGATCGAGCACGGCGGCTATAATACCACTGGCGACCTTTCCTGTGCGATATATCGGGCCTAACCCACTGCCGTGTCGTACCTCCACGAGCTCTTATGTGACGTCGAGGTTGGCGGAGAGATGTACGGCGTTCATGGATTTGCCAATGATGACCAGCAACACGATCCTGTGGATATACAGTCAGCTCGAGCGGTTTCCGGAACAGGCGGGGGTTTGCGCGCGGACCTGGGCGGAGTCCTCGGCGCGTGCTTCTCCTTCAACCCTCCGTCTCTTCGGGACCGAAGTACTTGTTGTTTCTGGCGTGGTCTGTGGCTTTTTGATACGAGAGCATCGCGACGTCAGTAGTGTGCATAAATATGCCAGGAGTATGTAGCCTGGGGTGATCTTATTCGAACACGTACCTTTTCGAAGTGCTTGTCGAACGGTTTACCGAGCTTCCTGGACGCGAAAATTTCCTGGTAATACTTCTTTTCCTCATCTTTGAGGTCTTCAAAAAGCGATTGTTTCCTCATACCAGTCGAGTGAGCGGAAGAGGATCACGGTCGCTGGCGGGCGACACTGACGCGCTCTAGCGTCCTCCGCGTAGACACTTCGAGAGTGTCAATTGGATCACATGTTCGTGTCGCGTCGTGTTGCGCGCGATGTTGCAGCGTCCAATCATTCGTGGGCGGGACTATCACCGCGAACAGCATGCAACGTACAAATCGAACGAACGAAGAGCCTCCAGTACCTGCCAACAGCAGGGTGTTGTAAAGAATTTTCGGAAAGGCCTCGTAAGCATTTTCATAGTAGCACAGCGTACAGAAGATGAAGCCACAACTCAGCACAGAGGGACGCCAACATTCTGCACGTCCTTCGATACATCCGTAGAGTTCCCTGCCGCAAACATCATCCTGTTGGCTGGTCAGAAATGGTAGAGCAAGTCGAAAACGGCAGAAGACGTACTCGCACTTCACGTTCCCCTCCGCGGCTAGGATTTCGAGCAGTGCGTCGAACAAATCCCACCAGTGCACCTTCGCAGCCGTCCACGTACGTCTTCTTTTTTTGAGACAGGACGCTCACTACGTTCCATGGGGATTGTTGACAGGGGACCTTCCGAGCAGGAAGTCGATATATAGGAGGGGATCCGGGACGGCCATATCATCTCCATGCCTGTACGATGTGCTGTTATGAGCGACGTCCTTGCGGAACCACCAAAACAGGACATCGAGACGAGTGAGATCCGAACGTACCATCACACTGCAGCGTTGACGTCAATTTTGAACAGTCCATCGAGCATATCCCACCACTGAATCTTTGCAGCACTCCACGCGGCCTTTCTGTCGGCGAGACACGCCTTGCACCATGTTCCGTTCGGCTGCTGGAAGAATGGCCCGTCGAGCAGGGTGTCGACGTAGCATACCGGATCCGCGGCTCCCTTCTCCAGCTCCGCCGTCTCGATGAAATGCGACCGCCAATGGGCCGCACGCTCAGCGGGAGTGTTGTAAAGGCATCGCTGCGGTTGTGTAGCGGAGCCGAGGCACGCGGATCCAGGCAGCGCAAAAAGCAGCGTCCACCACTGTCTCTGCAAGACTTCACGGGCGTGATATAAGTTGAGCAAGTCGGCGTCGAGGATCTTCAGGCTGTCCCTGTTGTCAACCACGCCTTCCCAGAAGGACTGGTTGCGGAGAACCTCGTAGAACGCTCTTTTCAAGAGCTCCGGAGTACCGCATTCGCGTGCGAGAGCAATGATAGTGATAGCGTTGCTGAGGCCTTTCCTCTTCGAGTTGCGCAAGGGAACCCTGGGAGACCACAGGGTGCGGAGGCGGTCCCTCGCTACCTCTAAAACCGACATGCATCCCAGCTGATTCGCCACGCGTAAGAGCGATATAGCGACACCCGGTGCTGGGGGCGTTGATCTATACATGCTAGAATACATTGCGCACGAGAGAAGGTGATTAGTGTACTGAAATGTATACGTGCGCGTGTGTACATGCCATGGGTTCTCCAAAACGCGCAAAAAATCAGTGAAATCCGCAGCGCTGATGCCCTTGAGCACATGTCTCGCCTCTCCGGTGGGGCCGTGAGCTTCTCGTTGATCCTCTACCATGCCCGTGTGACCTGCGTTTTCTGCAGTTCCCGGATCCTCTCTCCTTCTAGGATAAGCTGCGCCATGGCGCTCTTCGGCCCTTGCGTGTGGGGTGGAATCGACGAGGGTCACGTTATCCTGGTCGTCCTGCGCTTCCGCGAGCTTCCAGAGTCGTGAGAAGAGGTTGCAATGCTTCATCAACCGGGATAGATGCAGCCGGAACTCGACATCTTCGACGATCACAGTGATGTTGCCGTCGGCGTAGTAGAAGTGTGCACTTCTTCTAGGGCCGCTTGGCGGCTTTTTGGGAGGGACTTCGACGACAATCTTCGTCCGCTTGCGCACAACCTCGCTTGTTTGATTCTCGCTGCTTGTCTAGAATGATGAGGTCGTGTGAATGGACACGTTGATGTCGTCGAGGTCGTTTATACGCACTCGTTTGCTCCCACCCGCGGTCTCGGTGACCATGGGCTCATTTGCCATCTCCGATACCTGATTGCGAACGAAAACGTTTCTGGAAGCTGAAGGTACAACACTCTAATCTGTCTGAGATGAAAAGCGACGTAGTTGTAGTACAGACGACAAGGAGTCGACGCGACTCGGACGCCGCTCTGCCGCAGTATATATACCGCTCGAGCCACGTGTGCGCGCACGTGGGCGCGTTTCGGCAACTTTCGTCGGCGCTAATGATGCGAAAGCCGAGCGCTCTCTCGGTCGCCTTCAGGCTTGTCTCCCCCTGCATACGCACCGCTCGCGCTTGAAGCCTCGAAGCCTTGCTACTTGCAATATCGCGAGGTCTGGCGCGCTATGTTTTAACTGTACCCCCCTACTGAGGTATTTGGAAAAGATGATAGCCGTTTCTCGGACATGCGAGCTGATCAGCCATAGTGGAGGTGTTCAAACGTTCAAACGTTCACTGCCGACAGAACCCGATGGTCCGCAGCACGCTGTATAAGATACAATTGTGAGTACTTCCGAGTGCATTCTGAGCTCCCCGCGACCTGTCATTCCCTCCCTCACTCGCGTTCCCAGCTCCTGACGAACTTCAGAACCCTCCTCCGAGCCTCCACAATCGCCGTCTCCCGCAGCTTCTGCCTCCACGGCGTCGAAGTCGCCGCCTTGACCTCCACCGTATCAAACGCCGCCGGGGTCTCCCACTCGTGTATCGACAGGTGCTTCGGCGGGCGCCCCTCCTTCGCCTCCGACCCGGTCGCGCCCGCGAACTCCAGTTCGAACCGCCGGCTGCGCACCCACCCAGGGACCTTCGCAAGCATCGGTATGTGTTCCTCGTCGTACCATTTGTTGAAATCGTCTTCCGCCCCCGGCTTCACCTCGAGCTCCACTACGCTTGGGTATGGCCCGGGCTTGAGCGGATCATACGCGGCGCCGTATGAGGAGGGGTAGACGGGCTCGCGGAGTGCGTACGTGCGGCGGTCGAGGAGCGCAAGACGTGGGATGAGGGCTTTCTCGCGTTCGGAGCGTGTGGTTGCCAGATTGGCGTAAGGAGGATCGGAGATGATCGAGGTGGAGGACAGGTCGTAGAGCGCGCCGTATGTCGGACGCTCACCGTCGGCAGCGACCCAGCGCGACCAAGACTCAAATCCCGGGATGGGGATGCGCAGAGGTACGTGCTCGTTGTCGTACCAGTCGTTGTACTCGTTCTCTGAGACGGCGGGGCCGGGCTCTGAGTATACGAAGAGGATACCGGGCATGGTGGAGTAGCGAGAGGTGCGTCGTT